ATATTCATCTAAAATATCCTACATCTTATTTTTTTTAAGGTGCTGGACAATTAACGGTTAAAATTCGTGGTCCAAAAGGTGCTTTTCGTGTTGAAATGCAACGTGAACATTTACAAGATCGTACAATAATATGTCGATATAATCCAACTGAACCCGGCGATTATCTAATTTCTGTTAAATGGAGTGATGAACATGTTTATGGTTCACCATTTCATACACATATATTTGAACGACAAGAAGAATTAGATAGATTTTTACATGAACAAAATGCTTATCGTCTAGCACAACAACAATGGAGAGATGAAGTTTAAAAGAAGAAGAACAAATTTAAAAAAAAATATCTATAATTTTCTTTTTTTTTCTTTGAATGATTTTTTTTTCTTTTCCTTTTTTTCCTTTTACTTTCTTTAGCGAAAAAAACTTTTAGCAATAATATTTGTTCATTCTTATCTTTTTTTTTTCTTCTTTTCTACATAAATAAAAAATTATTCTACAATTTTCATTAACTATTATTATTATTTCCATCATCATCATCATCATCATCTTTATCGAGAAAAACTCTTCCATCTAATTTTTTTAAATTTACTATACGAGTAGAAAATTCTCGTCGATATTGTTTCTCTAATAATGTTATTGGTTGACTTGGTTCAGGTGAAAAATTTTCTCCAACAATACGTTCATGTATTGGATTTCCATAGGCAACAATTTCTTCTAAAAAATTTAATTCATTCAATTTATTAATTTCCATCCAATCTTTTATTTGATTATAGGCAAAATAGAATATACGTAATTTTTTCAATGTATTAATTCCTTTAAATTTTTCTATTTGATTATATGATATCCATAATTGTTCAAGTGTATCACCGAGAACTTCAAGACCGGTTAAATTTTTTATATTATTTCTTGAAAGAGATAAGATTTTTAAATTACGAAGACCATTCATATAACCAATCCGTTCGATTGTATTTGATGATAAAGCTAATCGTCTAATTAATTTATATAGAAAAAAAAAGAAGAATATATTGAGCAATACTACGCTGTATCGGCAAGATACAACGAACAAAAGAAATCAATGTTTACAATTTATTGATAGTTGAATACAACGCCTATTAATACAATACATCGAAATAATAGGGCATGTTCATAACGAACGAAAGTTTGTTCAATGATGCATTCATTATTCAAAAGTGAACTTTTTCGGTATGTTATTAGACAGTTCTTTCGATCGGGGAATTCATTTCAAAATGATTGTGAATGCATGCATCAAATCTGATCAATCAGCTTTCAGAAATAGTTATATCTCATTTATAACTAATCTATTATATTATCGTTATCATCACATGCGGACATTTTTTCTCTAATGATTCGTCAACGATAAGTGTCCCTGAATCTAATGATAGCTATTTATATTATAAAATCGAATCGAATAGCTATAAATATACGTACTCGCAATTAACTAGTAATGATAATGATTGATCAAGTTTTTCAATGGGTGGTATACGTCCATATAAATAACATTCTTTAAGGTCTTCTGGTTTTTGACCAGCAAGCTAGTATAAACGATGAAACATTAGATATTTAATAGTTAATTGAACATACATATTTAGTTAAAGCTTCGCGAAATGTTTGATAGGTCTATTTAAACAGAAAATGATGTGTATTTTCTAAATAAACATCGAAATTTAATTTTACCATTGCTTGTATATGAAAAACGAATAACAATCAATGAAATATGATTCATTAAGCGCGTATTTATTTCAAGTCTTATAATAATCTAAGGGCACATTATCGTTGCATACAAAATGACACAGAATAAGATGCAGTGGCGGATCTAGGATTTTGGAAGTGGGACGGCGATACCTGGGGGGGGGGGCGATTTTGGCTAAAAGCTATTTTTTGAGTCCAATCGAAGTAGTGTGAACCTATTTTTTCGTTCTTTTTTGCTGTAAAAAGTCAAAAAAAAAATTCGGAAGGGGGTGATTGCCCCCCCTCCTAAAGCCGCTACTGATAAGATGTACGATATTCTGCTAGGTGAGAAACCTTCATGATGATGTCCATCTCCTAAAAATATTTTCATTAACATGATATTATTAAATCTTAAATTTACAATAAGCAGTCAAATATTTTCTCCGAATTTTTGCAATTCGAATGTTTTCGTATTTGCATAATTTATTTGTTGTTTTACGATGACTAAAACTTCTTTTATTGTCTCGTCGTGATTTTTTCTTGGTAAATACCAAAGTAAATTCTTTTCTTTTTCGCATTCACTTCTACAAAAGTTCGAGAAGAAAAGAAAAATCTCGTTTTTTTCATTCCTGTTACTCTTGTTTAATCCAATGGCAACAAATCTATCAACTGACAATACGAACCTTGGAATATTTACGATAGTTTGGGTTGATGCCTATGTAAATAAATCTGATAATAAAAACACTCAAGATGATCTTCGACAATTAACTAATCAATTTAAAACATTTGAGAATAATGAACAATGTGAATTATATATTGAATCAGCATTAAATGATGAATGTATAATTTTAATTGCTAGTGGAAAATTAGGTCGACAACTTGTACCACGTATTCACGATAATGAAAAAATTTCGTCGATTTATATATATTGTTTTGATAAAGAAGCAAATAAAGAATGGGCACAAGATTATACGAAAATTCAAGGTGTTGTAACAAGAAGAAAAGAATTAATTGAACAAATTTGTATGAATAATAAAAAAGAATTAGTTGAACAAATTCCTGTTGATAATAAAAAAGAAATCTATGAAATTAATGATGAATTGTTTTATATAGATATTTATACAAATGATCCGAATGATGAATTTATAAATTCACAATTATTAATTAATTATTTAGTTAAACTAAAAATTGATTTAACAATTGATCGAGAACAATTTTTTAGTTTCTATAAAACAAAACCTACTGACAATAATTTACAATTAACAAATTTTGAAGAATTTCAACAGAATTATTCATTTGAAAATTGTTTTTTTTGGTTAACAAAAGATAAATCTCTTCAGAAACTATTACTTGATACATTATACACAAAAAATATCGATTTACTTTATTTATTTCGTTTTTTTATCCAAGATATTAATCAACAATTAGAATTACATAAATGTTCAACACCAATAAATGTCTATCATCATCATTTGATTACCAATGAACAAATTGAACAATTACAAAATTCTGCTAAAAAATTAATATCAATTAATACATTCTTTCTAACAACTTTTGAACGTGAAAAAGCTCTTACTGCATTACAACAAACAAGCAATTTACAAAAAATTCTTTTTGAAATTCATGCTGATCCATCGATTGAGGGTGTAAAACCATTTGCTGATATAACATCATTTAGTTCATCGAAAAAACAATCACAAATACTTTTTATGTTAGGATCAATATTTCGCATAGAAGATATTTATCAGCAAGGTGAATTTTGGATATGTGAAATGAAGTTAGCAAGTAAAAATGATTTAGATTTACAGATTGCTTTCGAAAAAAATCAAGAAGAAGATGGTGATTGCGATAATGATATTTTATCGTTTGGTAATTTTTTAGCACGTATAGGTCGATACGATGACGCTGAAAAATATTATAAACGTATATTAAATGAATTAACATCTAATGATAAAGATACACATATTTGCTATCATAATCTTGGTAATCTTGCTTTTCTTAAAAATGATTATAATGAAAGTATTGAATATCATTTAAAATCATTAGAAAATAGTGAACGTTTATTACCGAATGATCATCCAAATATAGCAGATAGTTATAATTGTGTTGGTATTGTTTATTTTAATATACAAAATTATGAACAAGCTCTTATTTTTTATAAGAAAGCATTAAATATTTTAAAATTAACATTGGATGAAAATTATACAAAAGTAATAACTTGTTTAAATAATATTAGTCTTGTTTATCGAACAGAAAAAGATTATGTTCAAGCACTTAGTTATTATCAAGAAATATTGGATATTGAGAAAAAATATTTATCTGAAGATCATATGAATCTAGGATTCACATATCATAACATTGGTGCGCTATTATGGTGTATTGGTAAATGTGATGATGCTATGAAAAATTATAATTTATCCTATGAAAATAAAACGAAATTTCTTCCATGTAACCATTCATCTATTGCAATGACATTAGAAAATATTGGTTTAATTAATGAGTATCAAAGTAATTATCAACAAGCATTAGATTATTATGAAAAAGCTCAAAATATTTATCAAGAAAATTCATTATTATTACATTCAGATGTTATACAAATTCAAGATAGTATTTTACGTATTAGAACATATCTGAACTTGAAATAATCGAATAGATTAAACTATTTTTCTGTTTTTAATTCAAATAAATATGCATTCAGTTGTCATATGACTGTTGCTTCACAGATTTTTATTATCTTTCTTTTGTCTTTTTCTATATCTGTACTTAGCAAATATATGACGACATCTTTCGTATACATTTTTGTTTTATATTATTTTTATAACCAATGAAATGAAAAAATAAACGAACGAACATCATGTCGACATTTTTCCATCATATAATCTTACTCTTGTAACTGGTCTTTTTATGTTTACAAAAAGTCATCTATTTTTTATCTAGGTAGATAACAAAAATAGTTTCTTAATATCACAACAACATCAGCTATGGGCGAAACATCACTGGACACTATAGAAACTATATTCAAAGAACTCCGTCAAACATTTGATACGGGAAAAACAAAATCATTATCATGGCGTAAAAGACAACTTGAACAATTATATAAAATGTGTGATGAACAAAAAGATACGTTGGCTGCAGCTGCTAATGCAGATTTCCATCGACCATATACTGAAACATGTTTATTTGATTGTAGTTCAGTAAGGTTTTTAATCATTATTTTGACTAATTAATACATATTTTACGATGTATTTTAGGTTCGTAATGAATGTAATCATGCTCTCAATAATCTTGATGAATGGGCCAGTGATGAAAAAGTTTCAGATATATTTGCTTATGCAACAATGGATAAATATATTCATCCTGAACCGTTAGGTGTTACTTTAATTATTGGTGCATGGAATTATCCATATTTAGTAACATTAACACCATTGGTTGGTGCCATAGCTGCTGGTAATTGTGCTATTATTAAACCATCAGAATTAGCACCGAGATCAGCTGCTATTATAGCAACAATGGTTGAACGTTATCTTGATACATCATGTATTCGTGTTGTACTTGGTGCTGTAGAACAAACTCAAGCATTACTTAAAGGTGATATTGATAAAATATTCTATACTGGTTCAACAACAGTGGGTAAAATAATTATGAAAGCAGCTGCTGATAAACTTATTCCAGTGACACTTGAATGTGGTGGTAAAAGTCCAGTTTATATTGCTGATGATGCTAATATAAAGAATTGTGCAAAACGTCTTGCTTGGGGAAAAACTATTAATTGTGGACAAACATGGTATAATATTTTGATACTTTTATAAATATATTCGTCGTTTTTTATTGTTGATTATTTATAGTTTGGCACCAGATTATGTTTTATGTTCTAAAGCAACTGAAGGTCGACTTATACCTGAAATAGTCAAGGCTTGGCAAGAATTTTATACGAGTAATCCACTTAATTCCGAATCTTATTGTCATATAGTCAATGATCGACATTTTGAACGTGTTAAAAAATTAATCAACAAAGATAAAGTTACACATGGTGGTCAAACGGATTCAAATGCAAATTATATTGCACCAACAATAATGTATGAATCGTCGATTTAATTCTTATTGATTTAAAAATTTTATTTTTTTGTTTTAACAGGACTAATATTACTGCAGACGATGATGTTATGCAAGAAGAAATCTTCGGTCCACTTCTTCCATTTGTTACTGTTAATAATGAACAAGAAGCAATTAAATTTATAAATAGTCGAGATAAACCATTAGCACTTTATTTATTTACTACAAATAAAAGTTTAGCTAATAAAATTATTCAAGCAACAAGTTCAGGTTCAACCTGTGTAAATGATATTATAGTACAAGTTGCTCCACTAGGTTTACCTTTTGGTGGTGTCGGTGCAAGTGGTTTCGGTGCATATCATGGCAAGTATTCATTTGATACATTTAGTCATCGTCGTACTGTCGTTCATGTACCTAATTGGACAGAATTTCTTGTGGCTAAACGTAATCCACCATATAAAACAAAAGAAATATCTTTCGTTGAGAAAAAAACTAAAGTTAAACGTCGATGGCGTTTTTTACCTCGACGTGGATTTTGGTTTTGGGCAGTTGTCGCCTTGATTGTTGCTCTTTCAGCACGTGCTATCCGTCGTTTCAAACAGTAAAACTGAAACTTCTAATATTGTGATTTTTTTAGTGATATGAATGTTTTTTTTTCTTTTGATTTTTATGTAATTTTGATATAAACGTGATAGAATTATAAAAAAAATGAATTTTCTGATCGAATTAATATTTGTAATGCAATTTCTTTATAGATATAAATTTTATTAGAGTTTGGTGCTAAATGCAGGAAACAATAGGAAATACGACTTATAATTGGACAGATGTCACAGGTCAATTTGCTGATTTATGTCATAATTTAAATATTGGTGAAGTAGTACGTGATAGAGATTTTACATTATTTGAAGCTATGACAGCTTTAGAATTAATGGATCCAAAAATGGATGGTGGAATGTCAATAAAAAATCATTTTCAAGAACAAAAACAAGGTAATCGTATCTTAACATTAAAACAATTAATAGAAAAAAATCTCTTAAAAATTTCCTCATTTACATCAATTGAACTTATACATTTATTTGATCAATTATTATCAACATTTCATATGTGGCTTGATGGACATAGTTTAGCATTAACATTATTTACATGTGTTTATTTACATGATATACCTATAATTGAAGATTATCATTTACGTACAATATGTTATACATTTATAAAATTAATTGATTATATACGTGAACGTATTTTATTAAAAGCTGGTTTATTTGAAGAAGAAGATTTTAGTGGAACATTAACATATAATTTTCCATTTTATCGTGATATGATTAAAGATCAAACATGTTTAACTGATTTAAAAAAATGTGAAGATGAATTAAATAAACGTTTACGTTCATTAAAACATCAAACGGATTTAAATCAATTAGATATAAATGCAACTCAACAATTAATATATCGTATAAGATTTTTACGTTTATTTTTTGGTTTAACACTGAAATTTAATGAAGCTAATGAGAAAACAGGTGAACAAACATATTTAAATAGTGAAGAAATCTCAAAAACTCTCAAACAAATCGATGAAATACTTCAACTCATACGACCATCACATATATTAGAAGATGAAACTGTAAGTAAATTTAATTATTAGAAAAGCTATATAAATTATTCAGACATTCCCTCTCATATACTCGAAAGTCGTCAAAAAATTATATTTATCGTTGTCTCAGACTTATTTCTGATGAAATCATATGATTTTACTCATTTTATAGCAGACAAAACTTGTCGAGATGTATAAAGTTTCGATTTACTAATAAATTTGTATCTGAAAAATATTTTCTTGAAACTCATGATTCTATATGAAATCCTTTCGCAATGGATTACCAAGACATAATATGATTCGTTCATATGGAATTATAGTCTCATGCTAAGCAACCTCATACAGATTAGTAACTACGGAATATGTTTAGTCTATTGAAACAAACTCATTTTAATTCAATCCGCAGAACTACAGTCGCTGCAAGACATAAATAGATAGGCAAATATATCAATGAAGCCGTTTTTTCTGATTGGAAAGAACGTTTTCCATTCGCTAAACTGCAGCGCACAGCATATTTTTCGACAGTAAATAGTTAAAACAAAAGAATAACATTAACAGAATGTTCTATAGAGTTTACAATATGATAATGCAGTACTATATTCTCTTTAGACTAAAACAGACGATAGTACTGAACTGATAATTCCAATTTCTTTATTAACTGATATTTCACGTTCATTTGATCCTTATTATAATTATCGTCAATTACCTCCAGCATTCAATCGTTTTATTCGTCAGTTAATATTACCATCAGTTGTTTATACATCTTTAACAAATCTATGTCATCAATTACGTAAAATGCTTGAAATAACTGATAAACGTACATTAAAACATTCGTTTGAATTTTTTCTTGAATATTCAACAAATGAAAAACCATCATTATTTATTCGTTCATTATTACTTCTATCCTATTTACCATCTGTTCAAGGTTGTTTATTAAGTTCAAGAAAAATTTTTGGACAAATATCATTTGCTGAACAAGTTAAATATGAAATACGTTTATTTATTGTTCCACCATTATTAACATTAAAATATATAACAATCGATAATGAAACATTAAATTATAGTGAAAATTTTTTTCAACGTGCATGTGTACCATTCTCAAATCTATTCTATTCATTATGTAATAATCGTGCACGTACACGTGAAAAATTATCGAATTTATTAGATGAATTTAGTGTTTTACAAGATGAAAGTGAAAAATTAGATCAATGGTTACATAAATATTTTTTACAACATATTCTTCAAGCAAATTTATCAACTGTAAATCATCAAGCATTATTATTAATTGAAAAAACTTCATATTTTTTTCAATTTATTTTACATTGGACATTATTAATTATGGAATATTATTTATTGATGGGTTTCGATTTATCATTATATTCAAAACGTGAATTATATGATGTGTATTTTTATTTTGCACAAATTATTTTATTTACACATGTTAATGTTTATAAAACATCAACAAATATTTTAAATACAACTGTACCATTTCTTGTTCAATTAAATCAAAAACAACAACAAATGAATAAAAATCAAATTAATAATGTATTTATTCAACAATTAAATTCTTTAATACAACAACATACAAATGATGATCCATTACAGGATTTAACAAATGATAATAGTTCAACACAGAAAAAAAATAAAAAAAAAAATTTAAATGGAATCATACCACCAAATATTGAATATCATGAACAAGAATTTTTATTAACTAATGGACATTTATCAATGAGTACAGCTACACATAGATGTTTGAAAGCATTAGAAATTGAACAAAGATTAAAATTTAGCAGGTGATTGTCATATATTCTCTTTCTCGTGGAGAAGAGTCTTGTAAACAAAAACGATTGGTTTCCATAAACTTTGACCGAAGGGTAATCGAGATCGAGGAACACGAATCTGATGTTAGTTGTTAAAGATCGTTTTCTTACACAAAGGACCACTTTTCTACAAGGGTTGACCGAAGGGTAGTCGGGGTCAAGAAACACAAATCTGATGCTAGTTTTTTTTTGAGAATCATTTTGTAGATGAAGAGCAGTCTTTTGAAGAAACTCTTTAGCTCTATGAGAAATACCATTTCTACGAGAAAGAGCTGAGCGCGTCTGCGTGGTAGCGTCACTTGTCAATGTTCCTCTACTTTGAGTACTAAGAAATGCCAAATTAGAGTACATCCTACACTTCACAGTTTGAAATTACGATTTTGATTATTAAATTTTATTTAAAAGACATTTGTTAAAACTCGGCTTGTCCACGAGAGGAAGTGATTCTATCACGGTTGTTTGTAATGAATGAGGAGTTGCAGACAACTTTACAGTGCTCTATTTTGAAAAGCGTAACCCTTTACGGCAGAATGTTGGCAAATGGCAACATCGATTTATTAGGTGCTGAAGAAACTTTGTTCTAAAACAGTATACTTTACCGTTCTCTGTCATGACAAAAACAATAAATATAAAAAGAGGAATATTTTTATTAGTTAATTTTTGACAGCCGACAGAAAAGGAATGTGCACAGAAGGAGACATTGTTACTCGATGGCTTGTGCAGCCAGCCGTGAAGGGATAAGTCTTCGTCTAAAATCGCAAACGCACTCAGTTCTGGATACTACGTTGTTTATGCGTTGTAAAACAAACAAAGCGCGACAGGATCACATTTTACGTAGACTGGTCGAACTATAAAAATTGGATATACGTCATTTGCATAGAGTCTACTATCGAACTGCGCGTGAGGAGATGTAAATATTTATTCTGCAGTGAATTCTTATAGACTCTGTACATAATTGACATTTCTTTTCTTTTTAAATATGTCAGAAAGTATTTTCATGTGATTTTTAACGAACAAGAAACTTTGTATTCGAACACGAAGTTTCAATATAGTTACAAATCTTGAACGTTAGGTATTCCGAAATAGCTACTCTCAAATCTATCGAGTTACTCAATGGTTTTATATCTCTTTTTCCGTAAAAGACTACAAAAACGAATTTTATGTTTATTAACATGATAATTTAATTCGAAATTTTCAATTTCAGTAACGATTCAAATTACTTTCTTCGTGATGAAATCCGTTATTCTCATCGTTTTCTCCCATTCGCAAATTTATGTGCTCCACCATATATGTCTCATGCAGATTTTCTTCAAATACAACATGTAAGTGATAATCGTTATACAGCATCGGAACTTTATCAAGATGCAATAAATAATTTTACTCATGCAAAAACATATTTTGAAAATTATGTTAATCGAGTAACAACATCGAAACAACATCAACAACAAACATTAAGTCGAACATTTACAACAGGTTTTACATCATTAACTGATGTTGAATCTTATATACGTATAGCTAAAACGAATGGAATTGTATTAAAATTATTATTAAGTGGACATAAACCTGATGTAAAATTAGATTTCGATTTTAGTTTACATGCTCATTATCCTACATTAAAACTGTGATGTCTTTTGTTTTTATGTTTGGAGGAAAATGAATCAATTCGTTTTTTTTTTGTTTTTTCTTTTTGCCTGTGTTTTTTGTAGTTTGCATAACAACTAATTCTGAAACCGTATAAACGAGTGTGAAGGGACCAAAAGAAAAAAAATCGATTAAAAAAAACTTATTTAAGATAAAATAATTTCATAAATAATACCTTAATGGCCTTTTATTTATGTTCACTCTGAGACGTATTGGAAACAAATTAAAAACAAGTTACCAAATTATATTTCTACAAACAATGTCGAACTCAGTACTCAATAGTCATAACGTTGATGCCATTGAAAGTAAAAGTGATGAACCAGAATTTGATTTCAAAGAATATTATTCAAAAGAAAAAACATTGGCATTACGCGATATTTATATCCCGTGAGTTAAAATTTCTTCTTGTCAATTAGAAAATAATTTTAATTAATTAATCTATAGATACTGTACAGAACTTTTCTATCGAGAAAATCCAATAAAAATTGTTCGTTCGCAAGGAACATATATGTACGATCAATTAGGAAATAAATATTTAGATTGTATTAACAACGTTGCTCATGGTATTTATAAATGATAATGTTTATATATATATGAAAAGAGTTTTATTTTATTTAGTTGGTCATTGTCATCCACATGTTGTTACGCAAATTTATAAACAAATGGGTGCATGTGCAACAAATAATCGTTATTTACATGATAACACAGTTATTTTAGCGGAAAAACTTGCTAAAACATTACCCAAAGCTCTTGAACAAATTTTTTATACAAATTCAGGGTGTGTGTCTAAAATTATTTATCGAAGTCTTTCTAATGTATTTTTATTCTTATAGATCCGAATCAAATGATTTAGCTATTCGTTTAGCAAGACAATATACAGGAAATTATGATATTCTTGTACTTGATAAGTAAGTAAAAACTAAATGATTTATACAAAATATCTTTTTCTTTTATCTAGTGCTTATCATGGTCATTTAACAACTCTTTTCGATTTATCGACATACAAATTTAAAAAAGCAAACACTGATATGAAACCACCTGAACATGTTCATGTTGTATGTATTGAAATATAACGGAGATATTCAATTTTTAGTAGTTAACTTGTAGTTTACTTGACATTCGATACTATGAAATTTATTAGGAATCTAAATTTCGAATTTTGACTGAGTTAGCACATACTTTCTGTTGATTTACATAGGAAAAGTTAAGTTACAAAGACCTGCAAGGATACTAATACGATCTTCGACAGATACACTTATAGATTATTCAATATATATATATATATTAGGTACCAGTACCTGATGTTTATGGTGGTAAATATCGTGATATCGATTATAATAATGATACAGAAAAGCTCGTTGAATTATATGTGAATGATATTCGTCGAGTAGTTGAAGAAGCTGAATCACGTGGTCGTCGTATTGCAATATTTTTTATCGAATCATTGCAATCTTGTGGTGGACAAATTATTTATCCTAAAGGATATCTTAAACAAACATTTGAGTAAAGAACTTTTTTGCATTCTATATGTTTCATAATATAATATTCTTTATTAAATATAGTTATCTTCAATCCAAAGGTATTTTATGTCTTGTTGATGAAGTTCAAACAGGTTTCGGTCGAACTGGTACACATTTTTGGGCATATCAATCTTATGAAGAAGGTTATTTTTGTTAATGTTAAAATAAATTCATTTATTCATATATCAATATTCATTTAGATATTGTTCCTGATTTTATTACAATGGGAAAATCAATGGGTAATGGTTTTCCTGTTGCTAGTTTAGTTACACGTCGAGATATAACACAAAAATTTGATATAAATGGTATTGAATATTTTAATACCTATGGTGGCAATCCAGTTAGTTGTCGTGCAGCTATTGCTGTTATCGATATTATTGAAAAAGAAAAATTAATGGAAAATGCACTTAATGTTGGAAATTATTTATTAAGTAAATTTAGAGAAATACAAAAAAAATATCCTATTGTTGGTGATGTACGTGGTCGAGGACTTTTTCTTGGAGTTGATATAGTACGTGATGAAAAAACACGTGAACCCGGTATTGAAGAAGCCAAAGAAATAAAATATAAGTAATGTATTTTCGATGATTAATATTAATAATTGAGAAAATTTATTTTTGTAGGCTTCGTGAACATATGATTATTGTTTCACTTGATGGACCGAATCATAATGTTGTAAAATTTAAACCGTAAATATGACATATAAATATTGTGATAAATAAATATTTCTTCTTCTTTTTTTTACTTTAGACCAATGTGTTTTTCAACCGTTGATGCTGATTTTCTTTGTGAAAAATTTGAAACAGTGGTTAGAGAATGTCAAACGAAGAAAGAAGACAAACCGGAAAATTGAAAATGTTGAAACAACAACAAAGAAATTAAAAATTTTGATTGTATTTTTTGTGCTTTCCTTTTAGTATGCGCTATATTTCTTTTTTTGTTCTTTTACTCGGATGATTTTAAAAAACCGATGATTTTATTAAACAAGCAATGAACATTAATTTGTGTTTAAAATATATATACATATATTGAGATGGATTTGTTTTTTTCAAGTTAAAAGACGAGTGACTCTAGAAACTATATTATTAATAGGTTGGATTGAAGGACGAAAAAGAAATATTTCGTAATGATTATTACCTTGTTGTTTATTTAATTCAAGGTATCGATAGAAAATAGAATAGGTATAATTTTACGTCAAGACGACAGCTACAATAACATACTAGAGAAGATTAATAGTATCGTTTTCTTTAGCAATTGTGTAATCACGTACGAACACGTGTATATTACTATGTGCGCACATAACTAATACAGTATATATATATCTTGCTTAAGATTAGATCACCAGACGAATGTTTACTAACTATATTAAAATTTTACATATATTAATCTTAGCAACTGTTCAAATGATTTAAAAAAACTGTTCAGAAACTATAAACCTGGAGAAGAAAAAAAAGATTTTATCGTATTATTTTTAAATCGAGGTGTTGATTATAAATTTCTTAAAATGATTCATCATTTTATTTTTTGTTAAAAATAATTTTAGAATAAATATTTTGAAGAACTTTTCTTCACCAATACTACACAGACTTGAATCACATGTATCGACGATTGGCGCAGTGAGAAAAAAAAAGAAAGAACATTTACGTGTTATTTGTATTTGGATTTCTACGTGCGTGGCGATAGAGTACATTCAGGCGATTCTTTCATCATCATTCCTTTTTTTCTTCATGGGTAACGTACATCAACAATGTCGTGGTATAACAAATAATAGTCTTGAACTTGATCGTGTCAATGCTATTTATGAACCAAATGAAATTATTTCTGGTACTGTTTCATCTTTAAAACATACCAATGCATCTATTGTCTTAAATGGTATTATTTATTTTAAAAAACGTAAAAAAACTCATGTTGAAAAATGTCGAATAATATTTTTTACAAGTGAATTTAATTTATCATTCAAATCGAATAAAAAAGAAAAATTTCAAATTCAATTAGCTGAAAATTTACCACCATCATTTACAACTATCGATACATATCCAAATATATCTTATTCAGTTAATCTTATCTATAAAAAATCTAAAGATCAAATTCAAACATCCATTCCAATACGTGTTTATCCTCGTATTTCTATTGATCGACCTTTACTTTTAACACCATTATTTTTTGGTCCAGTTGAAAATTATGATACTGGAATTAAACTGGAAGTTAAACTTAATCGTGCAATTTTTACCTTGGATGATATTATACAAATTTATTATGAATTACAAAATCCAAGTCAAACTTATATACATAAAACAGAAATTAGTTTAGGAATTTATTATAATATTGAATTAAATGTTTGGCAAGAAGATGTATGTAATGGAATAGAAAATTTTAATAATATATCATCAAATAATAAATTAATACGAAATAAAGCTTTATTAAGTATTCCAAATAAAATTTATTTACCACCAACATTTAAATTTCGATATGGAGGAGAAAAAGATCAAGCATCATTTGATTTAACAATTGAATATAAAATACAATTTAAAATTTATTTCGGTACTGAAGAAAGTTTATGGCAAGTTGATATACCAATTGTTTTATGTAATAATATAATAGAAAAAGAAGAAAAAGAAGAGAAAAATAATGTTGATGAAATGAATATTAAACCGGAATTAATTTCTCAATCTGCTGATATGAATACGAATATTTGTGAATAAATTAATTGATTGTAAATAATAGTTACTTGTAAATTTCAAATAAAACAAATTTTGCTATAGTTATTCATTTACAGATCAAGTTTTCTATTTAAATACGATATCATATTGGTAGATGAAAAATTATCGATATTTATAAAGGAATGATTGCTTATTCAGGTACACTTATATTGAATAAGTAGTTGAATATTTATTAAATAACTATGAATATATAATTATGATTGAAAATAATAATATTTGACAAATAGTGCCAATATAATTATATGTGATCTATAGCTAAATCGAAGCTATTGGTTGTATTTGTACTTTGCAAAAAACGTTTAAGACAGAAGAAACGTCGTATCTATGCATTAGTTTGATTTTTGAATCTTTTATGCTATATTCTTATGATAGGAATTTTATCCGTGAACTATTATCACCATTGAATACGTATAGCGATATATGATTATATCTTTGTAGTTCTTTATCAGTGTAGAGTCAGATGAATTGACATACTGATGAATGTTATCTGCACTTTTATCAACACAAAAAATTGAAAGTACATAAGAAGTTCTTGAAGTTAATCGTTTATTAAATATCGACACTTATATAATAATGATCGACATCACGTCATAATTTTGTCGTCTATTTACAAGATTTTGTATATTATGTGCTTCAATGGCAAAAAATGAATATCTACTGAAACTTTTGTTGTTACAATTATTAGTTTATATTTTTTTCTCTATAGTAAACGTTGCAAATAATTTTAATCAAAAGGGAAACAGCTGATTCGGAATCCGCTAATTATTCGAATCGTTTAAAATCATATCTAATCAATAATCAGCTGTTTCTCCTTTGCGTTTACGTAACTTAAGGACCAATTATCTAAGAAAAATTCATATATTCTATTCATTTTTTTACCGATATACTCGCAACATGAATAGGAATAATGTTTATTCAATTAGACTTCTTTAGTGACACAACAATATATTCATTTCATTATATAATTCGAACAAAATTATATAATACTACCTTGCAAAATATGGTATCATCTAGTTCACACAGTGTCAATATGCATTGATACTCTTACAAGTTATCATAGAGTTATATGAATTGCACAAATGAATTGATATATGAGATCTTACAAAGAATCAAACTATAAATAATATCTGATATCGTTTTGATTTGTCTGACGATTTATAATCACATTGCAGACGATACTTTACTTGAACGTATTTTATTATGTGTTGTGTTTCTCTTTTTACATTATTAATTATACTCATACAGTTATCACAGTAAATCTTTTTTATTCACAAGAGAATGCTCCTGGATGTATCCGACTAATTTTGATAAAATTATATGGGTTTTTACAATGAAGTATACCTATCTCGAGTATGAAACAATTACCGACTACGACTGCATCTGCAAAAAATATGATAGTCGAATCATTGTTCGAAAAATAGACATCTACACTTTGCTGTAGACGTTTTTTCTCATGAAATATTTAGAATTCAAGTATATTAACATTCTAGGTGTACTATATCTCATTTGGGTTTCCATACTCATTGTGTTTTCTTTGCATTACTCTAAATCTTTTCTGTACGACAATGATTCGACTATCGATCTTTTTACAGCTGATGCAGTTATAGTCGTTAATTGTTTCATACTTGAGATGGGTACACTTCGTTACAAAATTCCACATAATTTCATCAAAATCTAGTTCGTTCTGTCTTTTATTTTTTGTATTTCATCCATTTTATGCAACTTTATACTTCTTGCTCCTTATTCATTAAATACCATAAATATGCAACAAAAATATTTGTTAATACTTCATAAATCAAAACAAGAACATGTATTCAAATGACTGAATATTATTACATTTATGCAAAATTCCAAATATATAATTTCGTCTTATATTCAAACTAATCAAGCAAGCAATAACTACTTTTTACATAGATGTCTCCCTAATAGAACGCTCCTGCAAATTTCTTCGATAATTTGCTTAATAATATGCTTTTTTAATGCAATTCATACTGGAAGAAGTGACGTATTATCTTAACAATATTCACAACTCGAAATATTTCGCATTATAAAACTAATATATTATGATTGGCTAAAGAATCGATTTGATAGAAACTGTACACATGTTAATGTACTGACTTATATTTCTAATAAAATTCCTTGAAACTAAGTTTTTCTAACTATTTCTTTTTAAATATTAAAATCCATTTAAAATTTAGCTAAACATTATTTTGTTCGTTACATTATACAAATAAGAAAATATTTCGATATGTCGTTGATACCAGGAGTATGTCCTCTTTTAATTATAGTCATATATATTTTATCTATCAATATATCGTTAAATTATTCGATAATTTAAAAAAATATATTCTACTATTATAAAAAAATGTGATGTTTTTTTTTCCTATCTATAAATTGACTGGCTTATGATACTATTACATGTTTGTTGGAAAAAACCCAGCTGATTACATTTTGTTTTTTTTTATTCCTTTTCATATAACGGAAGGTAATAAATATATATTTATCTGGCGTTTTTGCGATAGTGAATGAAGATAAAATAATTTTGTTTTTACGATTCAGACATAATTTTTCAAATAAACAAAAATGTAAATTACAAAATTTATTTGTTATATACTAATGTATTAAATTATGACTGCAATTACATCCTTGACGACAACATTATCTGCATTACATAATACTAATTTAGAAACATTTTCTCTCGTTTGGTTGGATATATCGATACATGATTCACAAGAAAATCTTGATACTCAACGACAATTACGCACAATTATTAATCATTTAGAAACTTTTGAAGATAGCAAAGTTTGTGAAAATTATATTCGATCTGTACCTAATCATGATCGAATTGTTATTATTGTTAGTGGTCTATCAGGTCGACGATTAGTACCTCGAATACATTATCTTCAACAAGTTTGCTCAATTTATGTGTATTGTATGGATAGAAAAACCAATGAACGATGGACGAAGAAGTTCAATAAAGTAAATTAATATAACACTTGTTTCCAGGGGTGCAGAATATGCCCTTCTGCGCGAACGCGCGTACGGGAAATTTTTCGTTTTTACCGAAGATTCTGCACCCCTGGAATTTTCGCAGCATTACTAAAAGATTTTGATGGGTTTAGATTCAAGCTGTGATTATTAAATCAAAAGATCTAGTAGATCAAATTCAATCGGATCAGATAAAACGTATTAAAAAGAAAGCAAATGAAACTCTTTCAATAAATATATTTAATACTGAACAAGGTCAATCAACAACTGGTCTTAATGGACAGTTTATTCATTCTCAATTATTAATTGATTGTTTACTTCGAATGAATCCAACAACGATTGAACAAGATGAATTTGTGTCTGTATGTAAAGAAGAATATAAAGATAATCAACATGAATTATCAATAATAAATGATTTTGAAAAAAATTATACACCATCACGTGCAATTTGGTGGTATACAAGACCATCATTTCTTTATCGTTTATTAAATAAAGCATTACGTATACAAAATATTGATTTAATTTATTTATTTCGTTTTTTTATTCGTGATTTACATCGACAATTATTAGAATATCAATCATTAAATGTAATACGTGTTTATCGTGGGCAACTAATGATCAATGATGAACTTCAAATATTAAAAGATTCAATTGGAAAATTTATTTCGATAAATTCATTTTTTTCAACCAGCCTTAATCGAGATTTAGCCGAAGTTTTTTCTCGTGATTCAGATAATTGTGAAAGAGTTCTATTTGAAATCGATGCTAATCCACAATTAACTAATGAAAAACCATTTGCTAATATAAGTACATACAGTTATTTTCCTGATGAATCCGAAGTATTATTTATGTTAGGTTCAATATTTCGATTAGTGAATATATCATGTAATGACAATGGTTTATGGATTATTCATATGGTCTTATCAAGTGGAAATGATCATGATTTAAAACCAATATTTGAACATATGAAAAATCAACATAGTCAATATAAAACTGATCTTCTTTCATTTGGTCATGTTTTACGTGATATGGGTAAATTTGATGAAGCAGAAAATTATTATCGTCGATTACTTCATCCATCACCAACTGATAGTCAAGAATTAGGTCGATGTTATCATGCACTTGGTGTTATTAAATATGAAAAAGGTGATTATGATTCAAGTTTAAATTGGCATTCAAAAGCATTAGAAATAAAATTATATTCATTAAAATCTAATGATCCACAATTAGCCAATAGTTATAATAGTATTGGTACGATTTATGAAAGAAAAAAAGATTATACACGTGCAATTCAATCATTTCATAAATCATTAACTATTCTTAAGCAAGCATTCGGTGATGATCATCCGAAAGTAGCTATATGTTTAAATAATATTGCTGGAATCTATCAAATTGAAAAAAAATATAATGAAGCATTAAAATATAATCAAATAGCTTTAAATATACGTGTAAAACATCTTCCAGCTGATCATCCTGATTTAGGAGCATCACATAGTAATATAGGAATTATCTATCGATGTCTTGGTCATTACAATTTTGCAATAGAACATCATAATCAATCACTTAAAATTCATCAAAAATCACTTCCACCACAACATCCACAGATAGCATCGACATTGAATAATGTCGGTCTCGTTTATGAGGATGAAAATGAATATCATCAAGCATTAGAATATTATGAAAAAGCTGCTCTTATCTATCGTCATGCATTACCTTCCACACATCCAAATATTATTAAAACGGATCAATTCATTCAACGAATACTATTGAAAATGAAATAAGACATTTAGCGGAGAGAGAGAGAGAGAGAGGTATCAGTCATAAATAGATAGTGAATTATTTTAACTATGTTGAAAAAATTTTTATTCCGAATAATTATTTTAATTTTTTCATAAATTGTTACATGCAAACAATGTCAGGAATTCAAGCTTGAAAGATTAATCTATCAGCACGTAAAAACACAATGTCTTGTTCAAAAGATAAAAAACATCGAGAGAAGGGTTTAGAACTGAAAGATATTTTTTGTGGATAAGCAAATTAAATATTTGTTCAATTTTGATATACATTAGCTCCAAACAACTCTTTTTTTTAGAATTTTAAACATTTCTCTACTATCAGCAATTACTCACCATATCTGATAAGAGATGTCGCTTATAGATTAATATTCACTATATTTATTGAGGAACAAAAAATAGACATTGATTGGTTGAAAAACGAACCAGGAATATTCGTTAAACACGTGGCCCTAAAAGAAACAAATGATTCTATTTTCTCATTCTTTTGTAGAAAATAAACGATTTTATTATATTCTTTAGATTTTTAAATAAAAGCCAATCGTATAATCAATAACTCACAATGAGTTTCTTATGGGATTGGTTCACAAGTATTTTATCAACTCTCGGTACACTTCATCAATTATAACCTTGAATATATCATATTCATTTATTTGATTTCATATAGGTTTACATAAGAAAAGTGGTAAACTCGTCTTTCTGGGTCTTGATAATGCTGGCAAAGTAAAAAAACATGTTATTTAAAAAAAAACAATCAAATATTTTCTTATTTATTAGACAACTTTGTTGCATATGCTTAAAGATGATCGACTTGCACAACATGTACCCACATTACATCCAAGTATAAAATTTATTTAATAATTATTCTATAGAAATACATTGATATTGTTCTTTCGTTTTTATAGCTTCGGAAGAATTAGTTATGGGAAATATGAAATTTACAACATTTGATTTAGGTGGTCATGCTCAGGGTAAGATAATTGAATGACTAATATTAAAATAATAATAATTTTTATATCGTTTTTTAAAGCTCGTCGTGTATGGAAAGATTATTTTCCGGCTGTTGATTCAATTGTTTTTCTTGTTGATGCAGTTGATCGAGGTCGTTTTGCTGAAACGAAAGCTGAACTTGATGTTTGTAGATTTTAATTATGATATAAATATACTGTTTTACTTTTTCTGTTTTTAGAGTTTATTAACAGATGAACAAGTAGCTAATGCACCTATTGTTGTCCTTGGAAATAAAATTGATTTACCGGGTGCTGTCAGTGAACAAGAACTTCGTTATGTACTTGGTATTTCAACAGCGACAACCGGAAAAGGCAATGTTGCACGTTCGGATATTGCTGGTCGTCCAATGGAATTATTTATGTGCAGTGTACTAAGACGTGAAGGTTATGGAGAAGCCTTCCGATGGCTATCACAATATCTGTAGACATACACAATCACGATGATTTCAAATTTCTTTTCTTTTTCTTGTCTTCTATGCTTTATCTTCCTGGTCTTTATATACTCGCTCTATCTTTTGTTTCTTGTGTCTGATTGGTTATGACGTTCATTTTAAAACTGGGCGCCGTTGAGTTAAGTATAAACAACCATACATTTAGTTTTTTTTTTTCTTCTTCTTAAACTTCATTTTTTTTGCCTTTGCCATCTTATAGTTTTTTTTTTGTATAAAAAGAAGAAAAAAACAAAAAGAAAAAAATAAATGTGTTGGAAAATACCGTTATTTAAAACATTAAATTAATCAACGAAAAACAAAATATTTTTTTGTCATTATATTATTCCGAATCATTAGGTGATACATCATATTCATCATTGTCATCAATGTTAATATGTTGTTTTTCTCTATAAATCGAAAATAATGTCCATGTTATTTGCGAGATCATTATAATAAATGATATGACAACAATATAATAAACAATAGAAAGAAGAATTTCAATTACAGATAACGATACAAATTGATTCATGATGATTATATAAATCACACGTTAACGGTCAATGATAAATATATTACATCATTTTGTTTTAGCGCCATATATACCTAGCCGATCGATTGTTTATTTTATATTTAATCCTACCAATACATATAACATGAAACGAATTCATTTCGATTTTCTAACCAAACATTCAATGATTATAGTTACGAAATGTTCGACCAATTCTTTTACGTATTTATTTTGACTATAGTTTTTATTTATATTAGTTATGGATGTGATATTTGGAAAGCAGCTGAATGTCCACCGGGACCATCGATAGATGATGAAGATTTAATGAAATCACATTTATATACTGAAGAACAATTACTTGCATATTGTGATTCAGGTAAAACATATGCAAATTGTATCAATGAACATTTACTTTGTTGTGATATGCGTACGGAATATTCAGCTGCATTAGCATCAATTGATGTTCAACTTAAACGTAATGCATTACGTGTTGGAAGATATTGTGCTGATATTAATGAAACAAATCCAATACAATATAAATGTCGAACAACAATACAAACATTACCAGGTAAAAGATATCGTTCCACAACTACAGCAACACCTGTGTGTAATTTAGAAAAAGTAAGATACGGAAAAAGAAACATGCGATCTTAAATATATTTATTATAAATTAGGCTGGAAAACAATGTAGTCCAATAATTGAAAATCGTGTTCGATTTGATCGTCGATGGTCGGCACAAGAAAAAGCGAAATGGTGTAAAGATACATATGAATATCATATATGTGCATCAACATATATAACAAATTGTACATTCACGTCTGTTGCAGCTGATTTTGCTCAATTAACAGTTTTTCTTGATTATATTGAAAAATCTGCTAATCGTGAATGTCCAGGTGGTCTGTATGGTTGTACAGATAAATCCGATAATGATACTCGTTGTCAAGATCGAGTTAGTTATTTTCTTGAAAAAAATGCATTATCAAATCAAACAATAAGTCTAAAAGGATCCTCCTTCAAACTCTTCTTCGTATTTTTTATTGTATCTTTAACAAAGTTAAAAATATTTATTGTTGTAAAATAAAACTGTTTTCTTTCCGTTTGACTTACCAAATACAATAAAAACAAAACTTGTCATAAGCTTATCTCATTAATATTATGTCTCATCTAACATAATATGAATTAATGACAAATTATCATTGTCCAGGTGAACAAAACGCTTGTTTTGCACCGTCATATTCTTTCTTTTACGTCATTCACGCACTAGAGGTTTTGTCCGCACTTGTCAATAAGAAAAGATGCATATATATATATATATACACTCATAAAATACGACGAAATATCTATGTAATGTATAACGTTTACGATAGTAACAATGAGTGTCTATCAAATAATTGGCGGTACGTTTAATTTAATTTTTTGTTCATAAGAAAACATCGAAATGTACGTCCTTGAAAAAAAGGATTGATGACTCGTATGTGTCCTTGGTATTTTTGTTCTCTTCTTCTCCTATTGGACTTCTTTTTTTTCAAGAAAAAGCAAGAAAAAACGAGTGTTATTTCTTTTTGTAAAAAGAACAGGAATAACAAAAAAATAACGTTAACGGTTCGGGTGTAAAGACAACTTTTTTCTTTTCCTATAATAGGAAGCGAGAACTTCACCACAGAAAGAAATTGTTTCAGCCGTTCACATTATTCTTTACCGATGAACAATATTTCCATTCTTCATCAACCACAACCAAAGAAAATACAAAATTATTTTCCATACCGTTGTGCAGCATATCAGCGGGTAAACAATTTTTTTAACACGCCATTTGTATTTATTAAAAAACAAACACATAATCTGGCTTCATATCCAGGAAAATTCTATTTGAAAAATACAACCAATATGCCGAATGTTCAAGAATATCGTCGATATAGAGATGCTCCATGCCATTCGTCGATCAAAGTAAGCAAGTTACCTTTTTCTTTTTTTGACAAGTATGATTTTTATATTCTAGACATCGTTCTTCAATAATCAAAATTTAAATAGTCCTTGTTATTCACGAATAATCAAACGAAGTACAAGTGAATATTCAAGATATCGAGATTCGCATGTAAGAATTTATCTATATTGTATAATATTTAATAGTACAAAATATTTAGTCTTCACGAGTAAGATCAACAAGTCAAGTTGATACATGTTTGAAATTACATTCGAAATGTCGAACATTAACTTATGATAATGAAGCGCAAGTTCGTAAAACAATGAAAATAATGTTATCTGATCATTTTTTGACTTTTTCAGCGTTCTCAAATTCCTGATGATAAAGTTTCTTGGAATGTTGATTATCCTGATTATAAACCTGTTGAATATACTACAAGTAAAATTCTTCGTAATCCAAAAGCTGATTCATCCGATCCGTAAGTCTTTGATATTGTTTATTATTGCAAAGAAAAAGATTATTCATATGATTCAGTATAGATCGAAAATAACTAAATTCAATCAACTTGATAATAAAATTGATCGACGAAGTTTTACTGGTCAATATCTTATTGATCCAATTACTCATCGACCAAGAAATCCCGTTGGAAGAACAGGAAGTATGACATAGAATTAATAATATAAATTTTATCGAAAAAAAATCATTCATTTGGTATTTGTTATTTAAAACTTCGATTAATCTGAGTAATATCATCTTAAGATTATAACTAATCGAGATTATTTTTTTTCTCTTTGATATATATATCGGATTAAAGTTGTCATTTAAGATTCAAATTGAAACATTATCTAAGCTATGCAAAGTTAGACATAATTCTCCTATGATTTATAATTCAAATAGAGTAATGACCTGCAGCAATAGATTAACATTCTTTTATTTTAGTGACTGGTCGTGGTCGCCTATATCATTGGGGTCCTAATCATGCTGGTGATCCAGTTGTTACTCGGTACAAATAAAATTTTGAATTTTTTACAATTGTTCTATTTATTTTTCTTAGTTGGAAACGTGATGAAAATGGTTCAGTAATACGTCGACAAATGAATGAACAAGGTCGTTTGAA